TCTGTGACCTGATCCTCTCTGGGCTGGAACACAAACACAAACTGTTGCCTTGCCAAGCACTGGCTGCCAGGTGCCTTAAGGACAGCAAGCCCTCAGCTGCACACGGGGGACTCGTGCCTGTTGGAGCTGCACACACAGCTCAGAGGGAGCTGTCCAAGCAACACATGGCTCTTTTTTCACCAACCACAGGGAAGAGAAAGACCAAAGTGATGTCTTTCTGATTGGAGGTGAAGCACAAAGAGCAGTTCTGTCTTCCAAAAATCTGAGATGAGGTTTAAGCAACCACTTCATATTTTTAAGTAATGACTGAAGACTGACTGTGGATCCAAGTGCTGCTGCTGACCTTTCCCAGACAGCTCACACTCCACCACCACTCAGGCTGGCCACAGTGGTACATCACAATAATGGAGTTGGTACTAAATGCACAAATACTACAATTTGAACTCTTTATTAAAAAAAATTCCTAAAAACCAGAAGTTGTATTCCTCTTTCACTGAAAGCTCTTTCAAAGGTGCTAAGACAAGTAATTGGAAGGGAATCTGTGCATTTATACTTGAATGCTTAGAACCTAATGCATCTTTCTAGATCCCAAGTGAGGTTTGACAGCTTCCCACCAGTGAAACCAGACTTTACCAACCTCAGTAATTCCAAAATCTACCCTTGAGCCAAAAATGGTCACAGCTAGAGGCACCCAAGTGATGTGGCACTCTTAAATAAAACGAGAAACAGCTCAGGAAAACCAACTTTGTTTTATTGTGTAAAATCAAGTGAAAAAAAGCAGTACAAATAGCAGTGTATCTTTATAGTAACAAAAATAACTCCAACTCGAAAGACTTATAATTTACTACTGAATTCTTAAGTAACAAAATTCCAAAGCAGGATTGTAGTAATTCCAGAGATACAAAATTGGTAAGTAGGCATCTGCTGGTGTGCACAGAACAGTCTGAGATGCATCAATCACAAGGTCCATGGCACAGCAGTCAGGTACTGAATAAATTAGTCTGCCACCTCCTCGTGCTCTATTTACAACAGCTTACCCCAAGGCTGCTTAAGGAAACTATAGATATGTCTAGATCAACTGAAGAGGATTAAAAACTCCAGGTTTTGGGTAACTGTAAAGCTGACTGGCTAACAAACCACAGGATGCTAGATCATGGACTTAGTGTTGCAGCAAGGATCTTCAGCCCTGTGGCATGTTGATTTAAACCACTTAGTGTCCCACTAGAAGTTTAAATTTGGTCAAGAGGCACTTCTGCAAAATTACTGGCATATTCATCCCTTCCATCCTAATTTATAATAAATCACTGATTTAAGCAAAGTCTTCTAAAAGACAAACCAAAATCCCTCCCATTTCAAATCTGATAGAAGTGGAATGAAGGACTGAAAACTCTACAGTTACAAGCAGCATTTCTGGTAAGTTCAGGAACATTGTTTTGTTTCCTGCTCCATATTCCCTTAAATTAAACTCAATTCATCTGATGGTACAAATTGGGAACAAGAATCCAGGTTTTAGCCTGGCAGTGAGGTTGAACTGTAGTGACCATGAAGTTGTAGTGTATTTCACTGGCATTGAGCTAACACTTTTGTGTTCCTCAGTTGTTCCTTGCCTGAAGAGGCTGCTTTATCCAGGGAATATTTGCAGGAAACTGCAATGCCCCAAACCCTCCAGCCACTCTCTATCTTGCACACAGTGATTGATTAGTACAGTGCTCCTCCCCATAGCACTGTGCAGCTCTCAACTCTGGCATTTCAATTTGGTAACACTGTGAGGGACAGGACAGCTCCCTTCTAAAAGCTTAGGCACAGCAAACCCTCAGGTCTCCCATAGCAGAAACCACATTTCCTCCTAAAACAGGAGGCTTTTGTGCTACAGAAGAATCCTGTCCAAGTTAAGGCTTTTCCAGTTGCTCTTAGATAACTTGGGTCTGTCCTGTCCTGAAAGCCATGACTACAAAAGTCTTGCCATGTACCTGCAGGGCAGACTTTGGAGAAGCACTCTGCTGAGGGGAGTATTGTTTTACTACTGCCAGTTACACCAGAAGAAGTTAAAATTAAAAAAAAAAAGTAGTGTTTACCACAGGTAGGAACATGCACTCCTTCCACACAACCTGTTCCAGTCTAATAGTTGCTTCTTTCTTTGATACCAGTCTAAAGATCTCCCTCCCACCCCCTCCCCAGCTGGATGATGGATTAGGACATCATGGATTGCTGCACAGCCTTCTGCAGGGACTGCCTGGTCACCAGCAGCCTGACCACCTCCTCATTCCTTTTGGTCAGCCTCTTCCTGGCCTGGTCATGGGTCACCATTGTCATATCCCAGCCATTCACCTGGAAAAAAACCATAAAATAAGGCAGGTGCAGGGACTCACAGGTGTCCTGTGACTGTTCTGTCAGAACCACGTAGTGGTTATGGTTATGCCACAGCTCAGTTTATTTATAAACCCCACAAACTGTCCTGGGAAGTACCCAGAAGATTATTTTCCCCAGCAGATGTTTCTCTGCACTGTGCAGCTGGTACTACAGCAGTACTGTCTTATTTTGGTGCTTACCTGCATGATCTTATCTCCAACCTGAAGACCTGCAACTTCTGCAGGGCCTCCTGCTGTCACTCTTGTTACATAAATACCCTGAAAAAAAATGGAGAGTTCATTTACTAAATGTGGGAGGATTCAGTACTCAAGAGCCATTTGACTGACAACACAAAAAAACTCCATAGTGTATTATGAGATTTTAGTTAAAAACAGGCAGTGCAATGCTGGAAAATAGAAAAGGTGGAGAAGTCACTTAAATAACTCAGGCTGCAAGTGATAATGGGGCAGAGAGTAGCTGTGGCAAAGGGCAGATGATGATTTGGGCACCTCAGCCTTTGGGAGAGGGAATTGCTACAGAAAAAGATTGTCTGACCTTGTCAGTCTTGTCTTCAGAGAAAGGATTCTGAGTAGGGTCCTGATCAATGCCACCCCCAATGCTGAATCCCAGAATCAAATTGTCACCATCACGAAGCTTGTGTATTTCAATTCTTTGCTGGAAAGAGAAAGAGATCAAATAGCTGAGCATTGTGACAAGTGGAAGAAATTTCAAGTGCATTTCAGACACTGGTACTTCAGATCCAGTCAGATTGTTTTTCACAGATATCCCACAACACAGCCCAGCCCCTCAATTACTCAGAGCTGTCCTGCCTGCCCAGAAATAGAAAGGAACAACACTAAAACCAGAGCAGATCTCTGTAAACATGACTCATGCCTTGATAAGCAGCAGTCACTCATGCCCAGCCTCATCTTGCTCATTACCCACATGCCTTATGTTCCTGCTAGTCCTATCAGCAGAAATAACAACCTATTATTAGGATGGTTCTTTTTCAGGATAACTTTTGTAACCCGGGGCAGGTTCCTCACTGCCCGATGCACAAAGGCATCCGAGCAGCTTTGTGCACTATGTCAGCACTGTAGAAATGCCAGCTGCTGCAATTCCTGAGCCAGGGTGAAAAGCCACGGTCTTAACTGACACAAAAACCTCTCAAAAGGTGCTTCCACCCTATCTAACGGAAGATGTTCCTGCTCGTTCCAGCGGGGTGGATGTGATGACCTTCACGGGTGCCTTCTAACCCAAACCATCCAGTGATGCTCCTCTCACAGCCCTGTCACACAGACCTTGAACTGCCCCGCTGAATTCCAAACTCCCTGGATTCCAAACATCCGCGTCCTCAGCGGGAGCACCCACGCAGGCAGAGCCAGGGGAAAGCACAGAATCCCTCCCTCGCACTGCGCGCTGATTAAAGCCATTATCTCACTGTGAAGCTCTGCTTCCTAAATCCCACCCAGACACGCAGGTGCTTATCCTGCCCTCAGAGGGGGATCCGCACGGTCCCGGTACCGGGAGGACGCGCGTCTCGCCGGGTTCGCTC